TTTTAAAGTTCAAATTAGCATATAAAATGAGGTAGCTAGGTGGAGCAATGGATAGAGCACTTGACATGGAGTCAGGAAAATCTAAGATCAAATCCACCCTCAGATATTTACTAGCTTTGTGACTAAAGTCAAGTCATTCAATAAACTGAAGATAACAAGAGCACCTACCTCCCAAAGTTGCTGTGCAAATAAAATGAGATACGCGTAAAGCTCTTTGCAAACCTTAAAGTGCTACATAAATGCTAAGCTATTTTGTTCCGTCCAAGGCACAAAAAGAACAAAATTACTTTGATATAATACTTTACCACTGGTCTCTGTGACATGGGAGAGGAGAATTCTCTAAGTTAGAGAAGATAAAGAATGATGCTTTTAGACTATAAATTTCATAGACTGTAATCTAAGAGAAACTGGATGGTTCTTTTAAGTAGTCACTTCATTAAACACACTGTTTAACCCTACTTGCCATCAAGAAACAAAATGCCAAAAGCCAGACCATTAAGAAAGAAGTGAGAATAACTAGCCTTAGACAATTCGCTGAAGGAGATTTTTAGCAAGGGGACAGATAACCTGATGATAAGACGTGAGCTGAAATAGTTAAATCTATTCAATATTCAATTGCAACAAAACTAATGTAAATAAGGCCAGAAATTTTTTTTTAAATGGGGCTTGCATGGCTATAAGTCATGAAATTCCTCAAATTGGTATCTCTCTTGAGGTGTTAAAATGACTCATCATACATTGTTACATACTGTACATTCCTAGAGAAACACTATAAAAGTATATAATGCTGACAGAGAGGAATCTAAGAAATGTTTACCAGAATATGAAATGAGGAAGAGATTTATTCCTAAGTGCTCATTCTGCTGATTTGTCATTTTCCCAGTTCACCAGAAGATTAACAAAGCAGTTTCACTCCACCACTGGTTTGGGGTTTTTTTTTTTCCCTAGGCAGCTTGAAGGTCAGTGGATTTTTTATTTTCTGTGTGCCTGGGAAATCAGATTAAAGCCACAGGGATTTATAAATTTGCTCCAAAGCTCAAACTTCCCACTAGTTACTACAAAACTAGGCAAATCTACTTCCAACATGCATTGCCTCCATGTATTGCATATCCACGTGTGCAAGATCTCTCCTTTTGTAGAAAAAAACAATAAGCTGTCACTTTGACAGTCAAAGGTCAAAGAGCTTCCTAGAGATGCAAAGTAAGGCAGACTAAAGCAGGTTCTGTTGTTAAACACATACAAGAGCACAGCAGTAAGAACTTCAAGGTCAAAACTGTTTCAGGATTCCTGCAATTCCGGGCTTTGAAAGATTCTGTGTCCAGAGCAAAAATTAGCCATGAGGTCATGCTACCCCTCGTTGGTGGCCATGTTATCAGGTACTTTAAAAATGTATACACTCAGTTACCAAGCATTTTAAAATAGGAGTACGCAGAATGAAATACGTGAGTCTCTCTTTTAAAAAAACCTCTCCTAAGGGGCAGCTAGGTGGCTTGGTGGATAGAGCACTAGCCCTAGATTCAAGAGGACCTGAGTTCAAATACGGCCTCAGACACATAACACTTACTAGCTGTGTGACCCTGGGCAAGTCACTTAACTCCACTGCCTAGCAAAAAAAAAAACAAACCTCTCTTGGTTTTCCATGTCATAAAAAGTTCTTCCATGCCACCCCAGAATTAGTAGTTTTGTTAGCTTTGGAAGAGAAAGATGAGAAGAACTCATTCTAGGAAGGAAGGAAGGGCTAATAACACTTTGTTGGTGGTGGTGGTGGTGTTCAGTTGTTTCATCAGTCCCACTCTTCATGACCCCATTTGGGGTTTTCTTGGCAGAGATACTGGAGAGATTTGCCATATCCTTCTGCAGCTCATTTTACAGATAAGGAAACTGAGGCAAACAGGGTTAAGTCCAGGGTCACCCAGTTAATAAGTGTCTGAGGCCAGATTTGAACTCATGAAGATGAGTCTTCCTGACTCCAGGATTGGGGCTATATTATCCACTGGAAAACCCAGCCACCCCAATAACTCCTTACAGAACTGTTTATGGTTTTCCATGTACTTTTATCTCATATAATTCATTCAAGAGCACTATATGGCCCAAAGGGCACAGGTCATCAATCCCCATTTTACAGACTAGGGAAGTGCAGTTCAGAGATGATGTAAATTACCCAGTGGTACTGACACACAGTAGGAAACAAGGCACCCAAGTCTAATTACTAGTCTAGAGCTCTTTCTACTCCACATGTCATGGCTTTTCAGATACCTTAAGGGATGGAAGGATCAACATTCTTTTTTTCTAATTAATTTATTTTTAGTTTTAAACATTCACTTCCATAAGCTTTTAAGTTTTAAATTTTCTCCACCTCCCTCCCCAAGACGGCGTGCAATCTGATATAGGCTCTACATATATATTCCTATTAAACATATTCCCACATTAGTCATGTTGTAAATAAGAATTAGAACCAATAGGAGGAACCACAAGAAAGAAGAAACAAAAGAGAAAAAAAAAAAGAGCAAATAGTATGCTTCAATCTGCATTCTAACCCCATAGTTCTTTCTCTGGATGTGGACAGCATTTTCCATCATGAAACTTACGGACATGGCTTAGAGAAGGATCAACATTCTTGAAAGGAAGCTTTCCCCAACTGCTGAACCACAGTACCCTGTGAATGCTAAGCAGAAAACACACTACCGAGGAAGACATACATAGTGAGAACCGCAAGGTATATAACACCAAAACTTGCAGCACCATTCACACTGTCCAGTCTGGGAGAGAAAAATAATATTCCTGCCATAGCCTCCTTTAATTTCACAAATACCTAATAAGCTCCTACTATGTACCAAGTGCTACCTACACTAGACACTGGAAATGCCAGAGGTCTCCATGCAAGTCCTTATCTTGGGTTATAATCCAATGCAACATTCACCAAATGGCATATAACAAGAATATAACGCAACAAATACTTTCCCACAGGAAAGCAGAGAAGATTCTTCTGTATCTGCGTGAAACAAGTTCTAGACAATGCAAACACATCTAGGGACAAGACTTCTCTTTCTACATGACACTAAACCCAAAATCCTAATGGGGATCCTGAAAGTATGTCCACAGTTCCATCACCTTCCTCCAACAGAAGCGGGTATCCTGGCAAGCAGCAAAGAGGCCCTAGTCACACCACCTAAATATGCCGAAGTCAGAAAAATGACAGGACATCACCCTTGCACGGCATCCAGCTCTTAAAGACTGCAACAGAGATGCCCAGGCCCCTAGGCCAACTCCAGCTTCTCAGTAAAGACTGTAGGAGTCAGAGGAAAGAACAGGCCCACTCTGACTCTAAGCCCCTTCTTCACCGGTGACTGAGCCTATATGACACCAGCTGGCCTAACATCAGCCCAAGTCACTGGGACCAGCGATCCTCAGAGGCCATCTGTGCTGCAGTCTATCTATCCCACCTTCCTCTTTATGTAATCAGCTGAAGCCAAAGTCAAGTACTCTGGGCTTCGCCATCTCCCCACCCTCTGCTTCCTCCCTGAAAGCCATCCTCCCGAAGTAAGGCCTCCATGAGGCGGCTTCAGGTGTTACCTCCTCTCCTTCAGCTTATAGATTTCTGCCTTTACAAGTTCCCTGTCAGCTCTTGCCTTCACCCCCACCACGCTCTAGCTCTATACTAGTTATCTGTGTGCATTTCATCTGCCCTGCCCCCATCAGCTCCTTCAGAGCAAGGACTTGGCCCATTTTGTATCTGGGAATGCCGTAGGATCAGCACTCCCATTTACAGAGTAGCTAGAAGAATTCGATTAAACAAGACTCCCTAAGGGGCCAAAGTTTAAAAAGGGAATCTTCACCACAATCGGGGTGGAAAGCAGGACTCAGTGAGAGAGAGAAGAATTCCCCAAGCTAAAATAGGAGGGAGATGCAGTCCAGAAGGCAAAAATCTCCAGAGAAAGGGCAAGAGATCTCAGAATCATGGAAATGTAAGGATGAGAATGCCTGGGGTAGGAAATTCTAGAGGGCTGGAGGAGTGGGGGAAGAACTCTTGGGCAGATGCTTCCTAATCAAGCATCCTGAGAATGGGGAAACACAAGTGAGATTCCAGATCTAAAAGACAACAAAGAGATGGATAACCCGGAGAATAGGCATGGAACCCCTACCCCAGGGTGTAAGGAAAGCCAAGGGATCTCCCAAAGATACCTCAGGGGAAGTAGAGGGCCTTGAGGATAGAAAGGGGGCATCCTTGGATGAAATGAAGCAGTTAGGGAGAAGGGGAAAGATAACGTGGCAATGTGGGGAAGTTCCTAAGAACTAAGGGGAGATGAAGGACTAAAGGAAGTTGCAGCATCAGTGAGGTTATGGGGGGAGGGGAAACTTTCAGATGAAAGAAGAGCAGAGAAAAGGTAAGAACTGGGGGAGGGGCAGGACCCGGAGACCTAGTTCAGAGGGTCTGAGAGGAGGGGAGCTTCAGGGGAAGGGGGTTGGGATGAGGGATCTGGGAGGTGAGACACAGGGGATCCCAGGGAGAGGGGGTGGTCAGCTGGAGAGTGAGAATTGGGGGGTGGGGTGACCAGGGAAAACTCTGAGCCGAGAGGCAGGACCCTGTGAGTTGGGGGTAGGGGAGGGGGGGGAGAAGGGGGAATCCCCGGGCAGGGCTCTGAGGGAGAGGGAAGGAGGTTCTAGGGGAGGGTACAAGGACGCCCTCTTCCCCGCCCCCAACAGAGGGAAGAACCTGAGGGCGGAGCGTGGTGGAGGGGGGAGGCCTCGGGCAGACACCACCACCCCCGAGGGGGTGGGTCCTGAGGGGGGGTGGGTCCTGAGGGGGAGGGGACAAGGCCCTTGGCGAGTGGCAGAGACCCCACACACTCCCGCCCGGGGGAAGAACCCGAGGGCGGGGCGGGGGGGGGGGGCGGGGCCCTGGCCAGAGAACCACCCCCCAGGGGGCAGGCATTGAGGCAAACGAGGCCTTGGGGGCGGGGCCAGAGGGGAGGAGGGGCGGGAGACCCCCGGCCGCTCACCTGAGGCTGCGGTGGGGCCCGAACAAGGCCTGACTGGTCGGGCGCGGGGCTCATAGTCCTCAGCCCCCGGCCGCGGCCGCGGTGGTCCGGGTCCCTGGCACGGGCACTGGGGGCGCTGCGGCCCGAGAGGCGGAGGCCATGTCCCTGTCCCCGTCGCTGTTCCTGCCCCTGGAGCCGGAGCCAGGCCGCTGCCCCTCCCGGGGCCGCGTCCTCGGGGCTCAGCAGCCGCGAACGACTGAGGCGCCCTCCCCGCCGGCCACCGGGATGTGAGGACGGGGGCGGGGCCTCGGCTCCGCCCCTCCAACCCCCCCCTCCACACTCGCTCCCCTCCCCAGGGCTAGCCAACCCGCGGCTGTCCTCTCGGAGCCCGGATGCCGCATTGGTCCGTGCGCCCACGTGGTCCGGAGGGCCGAACGAGGAGGCTTAGAACCAATGAACAGCCAGGAACGCCGACTCCGACAGACTTCTAGACCAATAGGCAAGAAGTCGAGGCGTAAACAGAGGAGGCGGGATGAGAAGTGACTGAGTAGCTCCGCACTCCGGCACCCGCCGAACTCGCAAAGGGCGTGAGTAAACACACAAGTAGACCAATAAACTTTAGGGGAACTACAGATTGATGTTTCACAAGGCCAATTAGCGAAGCGGCGCGGGGAATACGATTTCTACCGCTTTATTGAGTAAATTAGGTGAAAGCAGGGAGCCAGCAGGCTCTGGAGGGACCCGAAGTTTCCTGGCACGCCCCCAGCCCGGGTGGTACGAGATGGAGCTCTAGGACCTTAGAATGAATGGATGGCAGAAAAGTGGTTACTATATGCCGAAACCTGTGCAAAACGGGAAAGATACAAATACAAAAGCGCCCTCAAGGAACCTCCAACCTGCCCGATAGGGCAGACCACTCATGTGGGGGAAGGGGCGTGGCTTGGAAGAGGCCAGATAGTCCGCAGTGGGAGAATGAGTGCAGCCATAGAGGACAGGATTGATCCAACCCAACCAGGGACAGTGACTGTGGTCACAGCCTTGCCCATCGCAGAGGTTCTTCACCTTTCTTTGTGTCCTCGTCACTGAGCAATCTGGTGAAACCTACTGATCCCACTCTTAAAATCATGTTTTTGAATACATAAAACACACAGGATTGCAAAGGAATAGATTAGGAATTAGATTAAAAATAAATGAAATTAATTTTTTTTTAACAATTTCATGATTAAAAACCTTTGAACCAGAAACCAAGAAGACCTCAGTTCGGGCCCCACCTCTGACATACTGTCTGTGTCCCTGGGGAAGTTGCTTAACTTCTTGGTGCTCTCCACCACTCTCTATAAGTTGAAGAGAAGGTGTGTTGACCTGCATTGGCAAAGGGATTTTCTTCATATGGAAGTTCCTTGTACCAATGAAATCTCTGTCCTTATCCAGTCTTTATCCATATGGCTCCAAAAACGTATTGGGTGGCAAAACTGTTCTTGAGAAGATGGTCTGGGAATAGGGAGAGAGCTGGAAGGATGTTTGAAGGTCACACAATCCAGCCTCTTCATTGTGCAGATGATGAAACTGAGACCTAGAGACTGGCAGGGTCTTGTCCCAGGTTATACTCAAGTAGTTACTGGCAGAGCCTGGATTCAAACCCAGGTCCTCTACCTAAGGTGCAGGGAGCATTCAGCATTCTACGACTTCTTGCTGACTTCGTTTCTATTGTTGCCATAGTTAATAAAACATTGCTAGTGTCGTCTTCCCCAACCCCAACTACAGGTCTACACTTTGTTTTCTCAATAGAGAAGACTCCGGAGAGAGAGGGTCATCCTCACAGAATAGCAAGCAGGTCAGTGTGGCTGAACCATAGAGTATATGTAGATGACTAATGTGTAATAAGCCTGGCAAGGTAAAAAGGAGTCAGAGTTTGTGTTTGATCCTGGAGGTGACAGGTAGCCACTGGAGTTTATTGGGAGGAGGAGTTAACATACTCAAACCTGAGCTTTAGGATTATTCCTTTGGCAGCTGAGAAGGGTTCTTTTTTTTATTATTATTTTTAATTTTTTAATAATTAATTTATTTATTTTTAGTTTTCAACATTCACTTCCATAAGATTTTGAGTTTTAAAATTTTCTCCCCCTCCTCCTCTCTCCCCCCAAGATGGTGTGCAATCTGATGTAGGCTCTATTTATACATTCATATTAAGCATATTTTCCCATTAGTCATGATGTAAAGAACAATTAGAACTAATGGGATGAAGCAATAAAATGAAACAACAAGGAAAAGGAGAGCAAATAGTATGGTTCCATCTGCATTCAGATTCCATAGTTCTTTCTCTGAGTGTGGACAGCATTTTCCATCATGAGTCTTTTGGAGTTATCTTAGATCCTTGCATTGCTGAGAAGAGCCAAGTCTATCAAAGTCAGTCATCCCACAATGTGGCTGTTACTGTGTACAATGTTCTCCTGGTTCTGCTCACTTCACTGAGCATCAGTTCATGTTTCCAGGTTTTTCTGAAATCAGCCTGCTCATCATTTCTTATTGCACAATAGTATTCCATTACATTCGTATACCACAACTTGTTCAGCCATTCCCCAATTGATAGACATCCCCTCAATTTCCAATTCTTTGCCACCACAAAAGAGCTGCTATAAATATTTCTGTACATGTGGGTCCTTTTCCCATTTTTATGATCTCTTTGGGATATAGACCTAGAAGTGGTTTTCCTGGGTCAAAGGGTATGCCCAATTTTATAGCCCTTTGGGCATAGTTCCAAATTGCTCTCCATAATGGTTGGATCATTTCACAACTCCACCAACAATGCATTAATGTTCCAATTTTCCCACATCTTCTCCAACATCTATCATTGTCCTGTTTTGTCATGTTAGCCAATCTGATAGGTGTGGTGTGGTACCTCAGAGTCATTTTGATTTGCATTTCTCTAATCAATAGTGTTTTAGAACATTTTTTTCATATGACTATAGATAACTTTAGAAAAGAGTTCTTTCCACAACATGAAAGAGCACAAGGACTCCTTGGGAAATCAGATTCACAGTGGGTGATTTGGGACCTGAATGAAAAAAAAAAAGCCATTTCTCACACAACAGAAACTATCTATCATACATAGGATTATATCTCCCCAACATTTAGCAAAGATGACCTAGCATGTCACTCTCCTGCCTCCCTCCAAAGACTTTAAGGGTCCCCCATGGCCTACAGGTATATGCATATAAGATCCTTAGCTCATCATTCATGGCACTTGGAGGCACAGAGTACTACCTTGGAGCTATAGGATAGTGGTTGAATCCTGTCTCTACTGGCTACTTTCTTTGTGACTCTAGGCAAGTCTCCTTCTTTCTGTGCCTCAGTAAAATGAGAAGATGACCTCTGAGTTCTCCCCCTCTACTCCTAGCATCCTATTAGTAACATGGACATAATACTGAGTGCATGAACACAGAGGTGTGTTCAAGAGAAAATTGCTCTCGGGAAACTTTAAGAACACTCCAACTATGAATATGAGTCAGAGTCCACTGTATCCTCTTCCACTGCTCCCCTCTAGCTATAGTGAGCCCTTCAACTCCTTCCCCAGAAGTCCCTTTCACCTCTCTCCATGCTCCATGCTCCAATCCTCTCCCAGAGTTCTCTCTCCCATGCCTACCCTACAGTGTCTTGCGGATCCCATCTCCCAACATACTTCTGGCACTACCAGGTAAAGATAGAGAGGAGACACTATACATCTAACCCAGCCCAGCCCAGCCTCCAGCATTGAGAAGGGTCCTGGATTGGGAACTTTTTAACAGGTCAAACAAACCAACCCACACCTGGGTTCCAATCCTATTTCTGCAGGTTCCAATTCAAAAAGGCCTGGGTCAAGTCCTTCTGACTCAAATTGGCCTTGTGAGTCCCATAACCTCCAAGTAGCCCCTAGACACACCTTTGAAGACTACCCATTGCAAAGCAGATGCCAATCCCAATTGATAGAGGCAATTTCCTCAATGGGATTTCTCTCCCTAAACTACTAAACTCCCAGGGCTGGGCCCAAAACAACAAACAATACAATACCCCTCATGTGTCAGTCCCTATGTGATCCTAGGCAAATCTCTTCCCCTCTCTGAGCTTCACGTTCCCATCTGTTAAACAAGGGGTTTGCACTTAGCTAGTGCAACTAAGCCTCTTAGGACTTAACTAGGCTGGTCTGTCCTAGGGACCATAATCCAAATGAAAGAGGGATGCCATGGGATGTTGAAAGTCCTTCTGATGTTCCCATTTGCAGGTGACTTTGTGCGGCTCCCAACAAGGTCAGAGAACACTGCAGAGCCTCCCAGGTGAGATCCACAATCCCTTAAAAGATTTCAACCTTACCATCCACGCGGAAAAAGTAAATGGATAAAGAATATCTATTGTCTAGACTCTGATATGCAGCTGAATGAGCAACAGCCCGCTGAGCTGGTGTATCAGTACCATGCCTCTGAGACAGTTATTGCCAGTGGACAATGGGTTGGGCCCAGAATTGAACAGGAGGAGGAAAGCAGGCTGGATTATACCCAGGATCCGAGTGGTTCAGGTGGTTCTGGGGAGAGAGGGGCGGGCCCGGAATTAGGAAGAACTGAGTTCAAATCTGCCCTCAGATGCTTGCTTGATGTGTAACCCTGGGCACTTCTCTCAACCTCTGTCTGCCTTAGTTCCCTCATCTGTAAAACAGAAGTAAGAAAAGGACCTACCAAAAGGACTCACATGTACAAAAATATTTATAGCAGCTCTGTTTGTGGTAGCAAAGAATTGGAAATTGAGGGGATGCCATCAATTGGAGAATGGCCGAGCAAGTTGTGGCATATGAATGTAGCGGGATACTACTGTGCTGTAAGAAATGATGAACAGACAGACTTCAGAAAAACCTGGAAAGACTTGTATGGACTGATGCTGAGTGAAGCAAGCAGAACGAGGAGAACATCGTACATAGTAACAGTCATATTGTTTGATGACTGACTTTGATAGACTTAGCTCTTCTCAGTAATGCAAGGATCTAAGATGAGTCCAAAAGACTGATGATGGCAAATGCTACATCCAGAGAAAGAACTTTGGAGTCTGAATGCAGATGGAAGCATACTATTTGCTCTTTTGTTGTTGTTGTTTTGTTTTGTTTCTTCTTTCTCGTGGTTCCTCCCATTGGTTCTAATTCTTCTTTACAGCATGACTAGTGTGAAAATATGTTTAATATGAATGTATATGTAGAGCCTATATCAGATTACATGCTGTCTTGGGAAGGGGGGAGGAGAAGGAAGGGGAGAAAATTTAAAACTCAAAATCTTATGGAAGTGAATGTTGAAAACTGAAAATAAGTTAATTAATTAAAAAAAATAAGGCCTACCTCCTAGGGTTGTTGTGAGAATTAAATGAAATGATATTTGGAAAACATTTTGTCAAATTTAAAGTGCTATACAAATGGTGGCTATTATTATTACCCATTAAATGACCCTTCCCTGAAACAAAGACCCATCTTTTTAAAACTGCTGTCCTGCTACTTTCACTCCATGGTTGTGACTCATAAGGAGGGAAAAGGGAGTAAGTATTTATATAGCACCTATTACGTGCCAGGCACAGTAGTGCTAAGTGGTTTGTTTTTTTACCCAAATTATCTCATTCTGAAAATCTCATGGCACAACAGTCTCTCAATAATGGAAGTTGAATATCACCAGAAGACAATGGAAAGACCCAGGGCAAGCATCTAAGTGGTCTGAAGCATTCCCAACTAAGGACTTCATTGGAGAAGTGCCAGCTAGGCAGGAGTTCCCTCTTCCATGTGACCATTCTCCATGATACTCATTAGCCACATTTGGGCAAAGGACACTGGCAAGAAGCCATCTCTCTTTTGTGGGTTTTTGTTTTTTGTTTTTTTGGTGAGGCAGTCGGGATTAAGTGACTTGCCCGGGGTCACACAAGTGTCAAGTGTCTGAAGCCAGATTTGAACTCAGGTCCTCCTGACTCCAAGGCCGTAGCTCTATCTACTGAGCCACCTAACTGCCCCTCTTTTGTGTCTTTCTTGACAGTAACTGGGAGTCATTGAACATAGCTCTTTCTGTAGTTCAGGTTTCTCAAAGAATCTTGAATGATCATAACACTGAGTGCATGAAGATTCATGATCCAACAAAAGCCTTTAGGAACATACTTTACTCTCTTAGAGCCAAATGCTTTTGTTTTTAATCAACATACACATAGTGGAGCCACACAGCGGACTGCCCTTTTAGATCAACTGTGTGATTGTAAAGACAAGATCTGTTACAATCATTTGGGGAAACCTGCTCTTTACCTTAAGTTTGCATCAAGGAAACCATATGTGTGTGTGTGTGTGTGTGTACATACATGCATATATACATATACACACACACACATATGTATTATATATAGAGAGGCCATAGAGCCATAACATATAGAGGCTAAAAAAGTACCTACATTAAGAGAGGCAGAATATCAATGAATAAGGAAAGAAGTCAGAGTCTCACTGTCCTGTGCTCTGGCCTGACCACATCTGCAAGAATCTGTTCAATTCTAGGCATGCCATAAGGAAGGGTATGTCTGGAAGTAGAGGCCAAGACACTGAGAGAACTAGAAATCCTACTATACCATTTCTAGATCAGATGAAGGAACTGGAAGTTGAACTTGAGTTAAACTCGAGAAAAGACCTCAGGTGGTGGTGGTGGTGGTGGGGAGGATCAGGAGAGATTAAATTGGTCCTGCTTGGGTCCAGAGGTCCCCAGGGATCAGCCAGGAAGTTCCTTCCAGTGGGCCTATTGCATGCTACCTAAAGGCAGGAGGGACCATGTGGGACAGGTCAAGGAGCGCTGGGTTGGAGTCAGGACGTGAGGTTACCGGTCCATTTCTGCCACTAATTAACCAGGTGACCTTGGGCTAATCACTTCCTAGATGGGTGAAAGTTACAAGCAGACTGATTCCAGTTCATGACACAGCGAGTTGCAGCGAAAACAGTGTTGAATTTGGAGTCAGAGGACCTGGGCTCAAAGCAGGGGTATCCTAGAGCCAGCTGAACTGGGCTGCAAATGCTACCCATCAAGGATTTATTGTTTTGCTGATTGTCTAGACCTAAGAAAGCAATGGAGAAAATGTTAATAATGCACATTAGACTGAAAAGTGTGGCAGGGGTACTTTTTTTTGGTTTGTTTGGAGAGCTGGTTGTTAAACATTTACCAGCATACCTGGTTGAAATCCTGGCTCTGCCTTCTGACGTGGCACCTCTCCCAGCTGAAGAGGGGACAGACTGGGTGACTGGCTCTATTTTAAGGATCTTATGAAGGAAAGACATCCTAAGATAGAACAGGCTGACTGGTGAGGCAATGAGCTCCCCATCAGCAGAGATGCTCAGATAGCTGATCAGGGAGGTTGCCGATGTGATTCCTACCCTAGGAAAGGTTGGGTGGGATAATCAGGAAGACCTCCTCTTCCCTGCAGCCCCAGAACTCCACAGGACCAACCAACCCAGGGTCCTAAACATTGGATTCTGTCTCTGCCTCATTAATGGCCTTGACTTAGTGAAGCACTTTCCCTTAATAGGCTCCAGGTTCAGAGCTGGAAGGGGGGCAGAAACCATCAAGCCAAATCACAGATGAAAAAACCAAGGCACAAAATATGAAATGAATTGCCCAGGATCACACGGTGAGATTTGAACCCAGGTCTCCCTGACTCCAAGTCCAGCAGTCTACACTACTCCATGCTGCCTCTCCATGATTTGACACAATGAAGATTTCTGAAGGGCTTTCTCTCCCAACACAAATGGGGCAAAAGTCATTCCTGGCCCTTTAGCTTTGTCCATTTTCCCTGGGCTTTCCCACCCCAAAAAAGTGACACCTGTGTGCCAAAGCTGCTGGCATCTCAGGCCTGACAAGGGTACCCAAACAGAGGGGAATATTGCCCCCCAGGGCATCGCCCTTGCTGGGAAAGGTCCTACCCTGCTCTGACTGCTGCCCAGAGTCAAGGTCCTCGGACAAAGCCACAGTGACCCCTAGTGGCATCTGGCCTCAAGTGCTGTGGCTCTGCCTCAGCCTGAACTCACAAGGGATCTTGGAGACCTGGCCCCACTGCCTTCAGAAAAGAGTTCAGATCTGGCCTCTGACACTTCCTACTTGTGAGCCCCAGGGTAAGTCACTGCCCCTCCATGGGCCTCAGTTTCCTTATCTGTAAAATACTTGTGATGGCTACTCCAGCAGGAAGTGGCCAGGTTAGCATCAGGATACAAATCAAGCTCTTGTCCAAATGAGGTCTTCGCCAGTTTCCTCTTTTCAGACAAAGTCCACCCGTCCATCAGGAGACAGACTGGGAGGGTCCCTGCTTCCCCAATCTCAGGGCTCTCCTCTGGTTAGGTTCTTGGCCAGTGAGTGCCCCTGAGCACATGAGTTTTCGTAGAGACACGACAGCCTGGTGTCACAGAATTGATTAACCACTCCTGAAATTCCTGGACATATCGACTGCTCTTTTTATGCTATGGCGTCTTCTTTCTGTGGTCTTTCAGTTTGGTGGTAGGTAACTGGGCAACCATTCCACCCCCACTCCCACCCCCACCCTCACTCCCCACCCCTTTCCTCTCTTTATTTTAAGCCTTTTGGATTAGATTCACAAGACTCCAGATAAATATGTTCAATTCCCCAGGTGCCCAGAATTCCTGTATTTTAAGCCAGAATCCCAAATCCATTGCAGATAACACCTTTTCAGCTGCCTCAGTCTTCCAAAGCAGAGAAGAAAATACAGTCTATGCCCCTGCTCCCCAGCGAGGACTTCCTAAGCCATAGCAATGAAGTCTAGAATTGTGTTGCCAGCAACATGTGTCTGTGACTCACTGAAAAGTGCTTAGCAACCCAACAGGTTTGATAAGCCCTCTGTCAGGCCCCATACATGCGACCCAGCAAGGCAGAGGTCTGGGAACATCCAGCTGACAAACGCATGCCTCGGCAGCCCTCCTCAGGAGGCATCATCCTCTGCCATCCAAGCTCTTCTCCCTCTGACCTGACTTAAATGCCTCTCCCTCAGTAGCGCTCCCTCCATGGAAAGAGTCCCTAAGGGTCCTCCTTTCCCTTCCTCCTAAGCAGCCTGCTAAAGCGCAGGATTCCTTTGAGCCTCTTCTTATTGAAGCCTTCTTTCATTTGTGCCAAGTAACTTTCCTCATGCCTCATAATCTGGAGTGTGGAATGACCCCGCTGGGCCCACAGTGTCCTGCGGCTTTCCTCAGGCCTACTTTGCCAGCCTCGTTCTGGCACGTCTCCTGTGGATCCTGGGACCATAGAGTATTGCTCAGTCTAGACATCTGGGCTGGAGCCTTAGTCTCTTAATGCTTGGGGTAATGCTGCATGATACTGGCCAACCAGGATCCCATAGCCTGATGTGGAGACTCTCAACCAGGCCCAGCCCTAGCGGGGCAGCTGGAGGGGCTGGGAAGGGCCTGGGAAGGGCCTACTCCAACCTGCCCAGGATGGATGAGAAATGAAGCCCCCCACTCACTGAATCGCCTCCAGACTTGCTGTGTACCTGCCATGCTGATTTTCAGCTTACACCCTGGGTGGGGGAACCTTCTCTAAAGACTACAGCGGGCAAGGATATAGTTAACACTTTTTATTCCAGATTTTGGGGACAAGGGAAAGGGAGAATGAGGGAACGAAGAGGAACAGAGGGGAGCCAGTGAGCAGAGTGCAGGGATTTGGGGCCAGCAGCCCCTCAAGAAATCTGGGGGGAGAGAGAGCCACTCAAGGCCCCTGGGGAAGGAGTGGCTGCTGGAAATGAGCTGCTTCACGGTGCCCAGAGGCCTTTCCTTTGTTCTTCAGCAAGCCAAGGCTTGGAGTGCTAGCCAGCCCCTTCAGAGGTCACTAAGGAGCAACTTGGGGGCTTTGCTTGACCAGTCAGATATCTGGGGGCTCTTCACAGGAGGCATGGAGGTGCTGGGCTCTGTGCTGGATTCCGTGCTGGACTCAGTGTGGCTCTGGAGGTCTGCTGGCATGGCTGAGGGGGCAGGCCCAGGTGGCTGGTTCAGGGACCTCCTGTACTCTGGGCCCTAAAGCTCCCCAAGGATAGACACGGAGATGGGAGAAGGGGTGGAGAGGAAAGAGCACGTGACCACTGCCTTGGGACCAAAAATGATCTAAGTCTAACCTGCCCAGAAGAGGATCATTTCTAAGGTGGAAGAAGCAGGTTGAAAGGAACAGGCAGGAAGATAGTTAAGTATGCTGGGCCCCAAGGACAGTAGCTGGGGGTGGGTGCGGGAGGCACGGAGGGGACACATGAGCTTCTAGGCCTAGTCAAGCTCACCCACCTGTCTCCCGAGAAGGTACATCCCAGCTGCTGTCACTGTCTGGGAGGCTCAGGTCAGAGCTAGAGATAGCAGAGTCTGGCCGGGGTGGGGGATCCCCTCGAATCTGAGCCTGCAAAGAACACACCATGGCCCTAGGGGGGCCCTCAGGGTCAGGCAATAGAATCCTGGGGAAGGAGTCACAGCCTGATGCCATCACAGCCTCCCCATCTTCTCTAACACTGCTCTATACATCTCCCCCTGACCCAGATCTGACTCAGTTTCTCCTAAATGGGAGGTGAGGGTCACAGAAACCATGGGGGTTGAGGGGAGGGACAGACTGCAATGAGGAACAAGAATTCCAGCTTTGAGAAATAGGAAGGTGCTCTAGTAAAAAGTAGAGGAGCTGTAGACTTTTGCCTTTCCTTGTGCCCCCAGGGCTTAGCACAGTGCCCAGCAGATAGTAGGTATACGGGGGTGGTTTGCCATTTCCTTCTCCAGCTCATTTGACAGATGAGGAAACTGAGGCACACAGGGCTATGTGACTTGCCCAGGGGCACACAGTTAACAAGTGCTGGAGTCCAGATTTGAACTTGGGCTCGGCACTCTACCCACCACACCACCTAGCTGCCCACACCAAGTAGGCACTCGAGGTTAATCGCCCAACTAGAGGTTTTTGAGCCGCTCCCAAAGGTGAAGCAGCCTGCTCTTGGTCACATAGGGCAGGGTCAGGTCTGCCCGACCCTGGGCAAGTAAACCATCTACTCCACCCGGCACTGAAGCCCCTGGAGGGAGGGGGAGAAGGCACAGGAGAAACACCATGTCAACGATTACTATTAATCATACTAATATCAGCCAGCATTTCCATAGCATATTAAGGTTTGCAAAGGGCTTTACGGATATTTCATTTGAACCTCACAACAACCCTAGGAGATGGGTGTTATTATTATCCCCATTTTACAGATGAGGAGTTGCACAGCTAGCAAATGTGGGGGACAAGATTTGAACTCGATTCTCTTCACTATGCTACCTGCTCCCTCCCTGCACTGGACAGAGGACTAGGAGACATGAGTTCAAAGCCTCCACCAAACGCTTTCCAGCTGCATGAGCCCAAGCAAATTCCCCTCTCTCACCTGTGAAACCCGAATAAACTTACGGCTCCCACTTCCCTCCCAGAGAAGCAGGTCTAGGAGGTCTGCTGACGGGGGCAGCAGCTCAGAGCGGGGCTGGCCTCCTCCTCACAAGTCTGGGATCTGGGCCAAGACTCTTCCAAAGATGCCTCGCTTCCCTCCCTCTGACTCTCCAGCAGGGACATGGCATTTCTGGCCAGCAGCAGGTCTGGGCTTAGGAGCCAAGGCCTTCATCCCCAGACCCCTCCCAGGCTGTCCTACTGGGCCCCTGTTCTGCCTCTACTCCTGCCTGTCCTTTCTTGTAGTGTTTATGGGCCGGGCCCTGTAGGAGCAGAGGGGACCCCAGGGGGTGGAAGGAGGTGCAGGAACCCCAACTTTGTGCTCAATAAAAGGAAAAGAGAATCCAGTGACCTCCAAAGCCAGGTCAATAACTGGGAGCCCATCTCCTTCCTTACTGAACCCCTGCCCAGGAGCAGGGGGCACTGTATGCCCTGAATGGAGGGGCCAGACCTGACAAGATCGATCTCCCGCCGAACATCCTGGGCCTCCAGCCTGGCAGCGTCCACCACCCGGCGGTGGCCTTCCTGATCACTCTGTACCTGCTCCAGCATCTGCCCAGGCACAGCCGCCAGGTGGCAATGACCACGGAACTTTCCCTTCACTCAGGCCCTTCCCCCTCCTTCCCCACGATGCTCTCAGTGAGCTGCGCCCCTTGGGGTGGGATGGGGGGAGTTTAGGAGATGGCAGAAAGGGAGCTCCCTAAAGAGGTGCTGCTAGGGTAAGGGGCAGAAAGATCCTTTCTCCAGGGCACCCCACCCTTCTATTTGGATAGTAGAAAAAGCATCAGAGCTGGTCCAAAGTAGAACAAATAGCCCCATCTCAAGATGCCCTTCAGAGATGACCCCCTGCCAGGAATAAGGATCCTTCAAATGCACACCTACCTTCCAGCTCCGCGCCTGAGCCTGCCTGGCCTCGGCCATCTGTCTCAGCAGCAACTCCTGCTGTTGGCCTGAGGGAGAGGGAAAAAGTCAGCCACGGACCAGGCCCCGGGGGCAGGGATGGGGCAGAGGGAAAGGAGAAGCTTCCTTCCTTCTCCTTCCCTAACCTCCCTCCCTTCCCTAACCTCCCTCCCTTCCCTCTCCCCTTCTCTCTTCCCTGCCCTCCTCTCCTTTCTCCCCCTCTTCCCTCCCTTCCTTCTCCTTTCCCTCCTCTCTATTCTCCCTTTTCTCCTTCTCTCCTTCTCTTCTTTCCTCTCCTTCTTCCTTCCTTCCATTCTCCCTTTTCTCCTCTCCTTCCTTCCTTCTTCCTTTCCTTCCTGTTCTTTCTTCCCTCCTCCCTTTCTTCCCTCCTCTCCTTTTCCTTCCAGTCTCCCTTTTCTCCTCTCCTTCCTTCTTCCCTTCCT